CCGTCTGGGAGCTCGGCTCAGATTTAAGTTTTACTACGCCTTCATGTTAAAATACACAAAAAGACATGAATTCAAATAAAATGAAATAAAAACTCACTTCAAATTGAGCTTCTCAGCCATCAGACAAAAGAGGCCATGTGGCACCCACAAAAGCTTTAAAAACTTCCTACCACTTTGCAACAAGAAGGGGGTTTATAATCAGACTGCCTAAATGAATCTCTTAATTATGAGCGACATCAATCCTTTCATTAAAGCAGTAAGTTTACAGTAAGTCTACAACATGCTCATAAAGCAAGAGTTCGTCTTACTTCAGCTGGTTTTGAACTCAATAGAAAAAGAAAAACCGTTGCATTTTTTTTCATCTTAAAGTCCGATTTAGTCCAGATTACCTGTTGTGCCCGCCTTTTTCTTTGCAGGTAAAAAAGAAGAAGCTATTTATGAAGAAATACCGGATGCATTGTTTCAGCCAAAAAATGGTGAGAAAAGTTATTTTTATTTTATAGAGAAAGACAAACTTGCTGTTTCTGGGATGACCAAGAATGTTGCAGCAGTGATGGAAAAAACAAAACAAAGCTCAGTCAGCTGTCTAAAGCAAGCTTTGGTTTTAAAAAACCTTGGTGTAAAAAGAAGCCGTATAAGTTAATGTTAGCTGGTTCTGTATAATAATGCTTGATGGTTAAATTTTTTAGACAGATTAAACCAAAATGATCCCACGTATTCCACCATCTCTGAGCTTCCTCTGATGGAGAAGCCAACTGGTAACACTTTTACGTTTACACTAAAAATGTTTGTTAAACCAAATATTCCTGGTAAAATATAGAATATTTTGTCATGTTTTCTTGCAGACACAATTCTACCTAATGAGTCCCCTTACTCCTGCATCGGAGACACGTTAGGTAGAGATTACACAGGTAACAGTTAGCTCCTTAAATGTGGGAAACATATTTAGGTTTCAAGATTCTAAATCTAAATCCCACCAAATGAACCTGCCAAACAGACAAGACTTATTCTTTTCCATTTGCAGATTTGACGCAGTCGAATGAAAGCCCATATTTTTTACTGAAGAAACCTGAAACACCCGAGAACAACAACGACGTGACGTCTGCAGTTTGAGCGGAAAATTCTTCAGTTGTCGATAAAACCTGCTTCGTCAAGAAGAAGCCTTGTTTCCACTTGAGACTGTAAATAATAAAGTTTGAAGCCTGAGTGACCCGTCTGTTCCTGCAGGGGACACTGAAGTCCCATTGATGGCGGTCTCCATGCTGGAAATGCTGTCTCAGTCTAACTTTCAGTCAACCTAAAGACAGGCTGAGAGCTGGAGCTGAGGCAGGTTTTAAGCCTCCTGACAAACCGTTACACCGCGCCCGCCTGTCAATCAGGTCAGCTACATGACTTAATGTGAATAACTCTTATCCTTCATCAAATCAAAACCTATAGGTCATCAAAACATTCACCCCCCCCGTACAGTGTGTGTCGATCGAGACATGAGCTAATCAGACCTATTTGTTTTTTTGTACCAAGCTGTAAACATGTTAATCTCTGCTGTAAAAACAGACTTTTTGAATGTGGTTTTTCAGATTAAATAAATATTTCTATATCAATGCACTCCTTTATGTCTACTTATGAGTATACATTTCAGATTTGAAATGACAAGACTAAAATGTGCATTAATGCTCAACTCAATAGCTAAGGGAAGGAAGTCTACTTTTACACAACTTTTTATTCTTTTGACATTTTTTTTTTACCAAATACTAATGCAGTTCATTTCTTAAAATGGGATGGAACAGAGTCATTGCTAAATTTGCCCTTAAACACAGCCCCATTCTTAAATCAAGATACATCCAAGAGTAAATAAGATCAATAACAGATAATATCACATAATATCAACTTCTCCCATCTAAACTGGACAAAGGGTTTCAAAATGGGAAGAAAAGGGTTTGATTGCAAGTTGTTTGGAGGAGATCTATTTTTATTTGAACAGCATGAATACAGTCTTCCAAGGTGCAAACCCTCCTTCTTCTGAAGCTTGTGGAGCTCCTTCATGTACTGCTGTCTTATCTGCTGGCCATCTTCTCTCAGCAGAACTTCGACTGTTGAAATGTCATTCTGAAGAAGCTCGAGCATGTGACATGGATCCTGGAGAACATGGACTTTTAGTGAGGGGTCTTCAGGATGGCAAAGAAAGAGAGAAAATATCAGTTATTCATTAAATCATTTGTTTGTTCTCATCTATTTTTCTGTATTCATCTGTGTGTAAGAGCACATTTATAAATTCAACAGTGTACTACCCAGACAACAAAGGTACAGTATTCAGGTAATCAACATCTATACAAAGTTAATAAGATAAACCTTATTGTAATCATGCTGTTTTCAGCTCTCTCACTCACACAATGATATTCCACATCAAATTGCCTCAGATTTTGTGAGGAAAAATTAAGCAGTTTATTGTGGATAGTACTTCATCTTTACATGAAACAAATATTACCTGAATTATTTAAATCATTAACAGGTCCCAACTCTCTGTGCTTCAGTACAGAACATACAGTAACTCATTTATTATTAACATGAGCTCGATACATGGCTGTATCCTTAAACTATTTCTTGTACTTATATATATATATATATATATATAAAGGCTGGGCACGTTAACGCGTTATTTTCGCGTTAACTAATTAATCAATTATCGCCGACAATTATTTTATCTCGCATTAACGCAGTTTTTATTAGTTATTTTCTTATTGTAAAAGTATTTTGCTCACTGGTTTTTATTTTGTAAAATTCCATCGTGAGCCTAGTATGTTGCTTTTGGCGGATAATCAAGCATGGAGAAGGGTACGGAACTTTTACATGGCCATTTTCATTTTAAAGTTCTTCCAGACGGCGCAGTCCACAGAGCCGAAGTTATTTGTAACCACTGCGAAGTTGAATTTTCTTATCACCGGAGTACTTGATAAGTACTCCAAAATATGTTGCAGCCAGAAACTCAGGCGGACGCTGAAAGGTCGTTTCACTTGTCTTCACTTTATTTAAGCGTTTAACAAAGACCCAGTACCTTCATTCACTCTGCCTAAGAGTCTCTTCAGCTGCTGAATAATAACGACAGCTTTCTTGCTAACTCCGGAGCATCACAACAACAACACTCTTCTTCTCTGAACTCCTGCATGTCACTGTTTCTCACTCACAGACTCCACCTAGTGGTGTAGATTATGCAGCGCATTTAATTAATAACATGTCAACATGGACTGCTTGAATAATGTTGCAGTTCAGAAAAATACATTAACATTAGCAACTTTGAAGATGAATTCAAAAAGGATTATAAACTAAAGAATTTCAAAATGACAAGTACAACAAAAATGTGTTTGTGGGGTCCCCGATAACCAAACAATAAACATCAATGTTCTCAATTGACCTGTCACACTCTCCCCCACTTTAAAAATGGCGTCCTGACATTTTCATTATACCGCTTAGCCTAAAACCTTTCTGGGCAGTTTTTTTTTAATATAACAAAGAGAATGACATTATGCCCTTGCAGTGGCAATAAGCTTTAGTTTTGTATTTATTTGCTTTGATTACATTGTTTAGGTTGAGAAGTACATTTACAATAAAAGTGCACTATACACTACTTTTGAATTCATTATTGGATTTTGCGTATAACAATGCGATTAATCGTGATTAATCACAGGAACTCATGCGATTAACGCGATTAAAACTTTTAATCGTTGCCCAGCCCAAATATATATACTTTATATCTTATTTTCATTCCATATGTTATTTATATCTTTTATATTTCTACTGCTATATTCTTTGGAAGAGCATCTGTAACGATTAAGAACTATATTAATAACCATATTAAATTTCACTGAACTCATACAAAGTTAATTTTTTTTTAAATGTGGTAACAGTTTGCACAAATCTTAAGACACTACATCAACCATGTAACGTTGATGTCATCCTCTATAACCTACACAGCAGATTAGGTTCAGTTGAGTTCAGTTTATGTTACTGACGGATAATTACTACACAAAGTTTGTTTTTTAATGTTGACATTTACGTGGAGTATTACATTCATCATAACGTCAGATAACCATATTTACAGCCTCAAGCGGAATCTTGAGGAACTGCAGTTTTTTGTACTTCCGCATTGGCTTCATTTTTCGAGACCTTTGTTTACTGTCTAATGTAATTAACAGTGAAAACACATTGGCTGTTTGTGAAACATTATTTTAAGGGATATTTCCCACCCCCACTGAAGCCAGAGAATGGTGGTCGCCATATTGGAAAAGTTGACTCTACTTATCTTTAGATGAATTTGGAAAACGGGCAAAAAGGCGGAGCAGAGGTGGGGCTTAAACCTCCTGGGAAACAACAACGTGTTCTCCTGTCGGTCAACACAGCCACACCCCTAATTAAGAGACGAGCTCTAGAGATCAAACCTGTTTCTGTATCAGGCTGTGGACATGTTTATTTCTGCTGTAAACATTTTAACATAGGACCTAATGGGGAATCCTCCGTCTTTGGAGCCAGTCTAAAGTGGACACTGGAGGAACTGCAGTGTTTTTGCACTTCTGCGTTGACTTCTGGAGGTTTCAGCACAAGTTCTCCAGACAGGGTCACTGAAAAAGTCTGAGTGAATTGACACATTTTAACCAGTAGGTGGTGCTCAAGGGTCTCAGATGCCGCTTGCAGTTGGAAGAGGCCATAAGAAGCAGAAGAAGCTGCAGCAGCTTCAGGTCACAGCTGCCAGGTTTCACACGCTCTAGTTTATTTATTGTTCTTTTTATCAGGTATACAAATATCAATGCAGTTATAAATAAAGCCACTTCAGTGGAAGTGTAATAGTGATGATGGTGTTAATGTGTCTGACAATGACTGAGTTGATTGTTTTCACGTTTGTTGTCATTTTCCCTGACCTGTCAGCATCCAACAGATTTAATGCAGCACATAACAATTTTACTTTTAAGACATGACTTCACATCTTTCAGAAAGGTAAACACTCATTATGAGTCCATACCTGAGGCGCTGACTGTGTGGTGGGTGAAACATTCAGAGAAGAGGAAACTTCAGCGCTCATTAACCACAGATTGAAACAGTCACAGACTCACTCTTATAACTTACCAATGTGGGTGTTTAGGGTAGAGGAACACACACCCGCTGGCACGTAGACGGTCGAGTTCCTGTTCTCTTCTAAGAGAAACTGTGCTCACTTTGTGACAGAAGTCAGTGCGAAGATGAAGGTGATCATCAGCTGCTGCCTGTTTGCCTTCCTCCTGAGCTGTAACCTCACTGCAGGTAAGACTGCCCTGTTTCTCACCATTACTTTGAAGCGTGTTGTGAAGACTTTTGTGTAGAATTTTCTGAGTTGAAATGAATCTGAAATGTGAATCAAACTTTCATGAGGAATTGAGCCGCTGATGTAAGCGTGAGAAAGGTTACTTCAGGAAGTAAAAAAACAGCCCGGATAGATTCAGTGGTAACGTACCTACACCGTAATATTTACATAAATGTGGAATATTTTTTAATGTGTTATTCTCATCAGTTTGTTGATTTTATACATGATTAGTGCATTGATTTCTTTAGTATGAAGATGAAGAAGATATCCTCCATTAATTATTAGAGGGAGATTACATTTGACGCTGTGTTGTTGAACATGCTCCACACACATACACACACACGATCCTGTGGATGCACTGATGGCAAGCGCTCCTGAGCTGGTGGGGCAGGGGTTTGGTGCCTTGCTCAAGGTCACATCGGCAGTACTCAGGAAGTGATCTGACACCTCTGCAGCTACCAGACCAACTTCCAGACTAGGGCACTTTCCGAATAGCCACAGTTCAGTCGGCAGTACGTACTTTTCAGTAGGGAGTTTCAGTATACTGAACTTTCGTGGTCATTCACTATGCATTTTTTGGGTCCACCTCAGTATACTGAACATTTCAGTATGGATACAAACTTCCGGATTTCATACAGTATGGATCGGATGCATGCTTTCAGGAAATGAATTGTATTTTACCACCCACAATGCTGTGTGAAATTAAACGTAAATCGTCACGTCACGTCCGCCTCCAAATCAAAACAAACGAGCGTGGATTACTTGAATACATTTTTATTCTAGAGTTAAAGTCCCGACTGAAATCGCTACTTTTAATTAACAACAGAAAATATAACAAATATCTGCATTATCATAAAACCTTTCCCCCTCTATTTAAATAATGATTTCACTATTTAAATGCGTCTGTCTGACTTGTGATGTTGTTTTTTGTTTACCTGACTGTATATGCGCATTACTCTTCTTGAATAAAGCCAAACAAAAAAAAAAAAAAAAAAAAAGGGTGAATGCGGCCGGTTCGGGTAACATAAATGACGTCACTTCCATACTGAATGAATCAGATGAAGTCGGAACAAATATCTGCCTACTGTGCGCGCCCACTGAACAGTAGGTACTAAAGTTTAGCACTTGCAGGTATTTGCAGACCCCTTTTCAGCTGATGTTGAGAGTGTCCCAAGTGTGTTGCAAATGGAACTTGTTGACCTGCAGTGTAACAGTGAACTGAAAAATAAATTCAGAGAGGTATAGGGGAAGGCCGACCTGACTGGACAGTTTCTAAGAGAATTACCTGCATCCTTCCCAGAGCTATCCAAATTGTTCAGTCGTGTAATGTGCCTTTTTGGAAGCACATTTCTGTGTGAGAAACTTTTCTCGACAATGAACTTTAATAAATGCAAGTACAGGTCCAGGCTTAGTGATGCACACCTTGAAGCTGTAGGGTTTCAACTGTGACCTCCGTCAAGGTAAATGTGGCTCATCTGTGTGAGCAGAAGCGCTGCCAGGTGTCTGGCAAGAAATAGAATGCAGGATTAATGTGTTGGTATTTTGAGTAACTGCATTTTTTGGTTCAGTGCAGGTTTTATTTATTATTTGATTAAGTTATTTAAGTTATAAAGCAAACACAAAAGACTTGCACGACTAAATGAAAGCAGATGTTTTGAAAAATGTATATAAACTGCTGTTTGTATTAGTGATGTGTGACAAAATTTTGCAGAAACAAAAAGTACAAAAATAAAGTCCTTTTTGTGGTGCTTGAACTTTGTAGTGGCCCTCCTTTAAGTCGATAGTACTCCCAGTGGCCCCATGCCAGTTTGAGTTTGAGACCCCTGTACTAAACAGTACACAGCACGGATAGTAGGTACTGCCTACTGCCTACTGCAAGATTGAATAGGTACTTGGCAATTCAGATACAGCCACTGTCTGCACCGGGACTTGAACCAGCGACTCTCTGGTTCGCCAATCCAAGTCCCTAGTGACTGAGCTGTTTTTTCTTACTGTCTGTCAAAACACCAATGGACGTGCATTAAACGTGAACGTGCGTGTTTAAACCTGATGCTGCATCATTAAGATGATCCGCCTCTGCATGTGAAGTCTGGTGGATTTAATGTTGGAGGTTCATGACACAAAGACGCATTTGATGAAGAGAAAGTTAAATGTGATTCTGAAACTGGTTTCAAACCACATTTTAGTTGCTTGCAATTTTAAGAATACAGACATCCTGACAGCCGAGTCTTTGTATCTAACGTTGTGTTTCTGTTGCAGCAATCATCCATAAAATAGTCGAGCAGAAGAAATCAATCGCTTTACCCTGTCCTCACCCTGTGGATAAAGTGAAGTGGAGCAGAGAGAAGAATGGAAACAAAACTGACTTAATGACAGTTGAGGGTGAAAAAGAGACAAAACACATTTCAGACCCATATAAATATTACAGTTCATTAGCAGATAAATCTCTAATGATACGAAGAGCAATGTTCTCAGACGATGGAAGATATTTGTGTAACGATGAAGCAGCTGTGGATCTGACGGTGACCCCACCAGGTAACATCGAACTTTAATAAAAACTTTTCAACATGACTCGATTTCTCTGCCCAGATTTTGTATTTTAGTTTAACATGTATCACAGACACACTTCAGTAATTTGAAAGAACTGTGCATTTTCATTAAAAAAATTGGGTTTGATTTTTCTTTCCAGTTATTTAAAAAATATATTTTTTACCTTTGTTAGTCTTTATTTAATGACAGTTTAGAATCCTCTGACTTCACTCTGCGTGATGCATTAATCGTAGCTCATAATAAAACCTGTTTTGTTTCCTCTGCACAGGAACAGTCGTTCTCGAGGCAACAGAGAGGACCAGGGTCACTCTGAAATGTCCTGATGTTTCAGACGATCACGGATGGTGGACAGACGTTGTAGACATAAAACAACAAAGACGGTTTGTTGTTTCAAAAGTTGAAAAGACGTTGACAATAAAAAGAGTGAATGCTGCTGACTCTGGACTTTACTACTGCGGTGAAAAACCTGCTGCGTACCTGAACGTGATCAGAGATGATGCGTCTGACAGAGGTGAGAGGAACACATCATCAGGGAAGAAGTTAAGAGAAGTTATTTAAAAGAAGTCAGACAGATTCTTAGTAATCTACCTTTCCACCTTCTTGTCACAGATATTTAGAGATATGAGGACATTGATACCTCTCATATTTATCTTGTTTGACTTCCCCAGACTCACCGATATTGTTTTTTTTAACTCCATGTAAGCTTCCTCTTGATCAAACCTCTGACCCTTTTATTACACACAGCTCTGATTGCAGCTAGGGCCCTACCGATATGTGATTTCTGGGGCCGATACAGATACCGATATTAGGGATGAAAAAAAATCTGATACCGATCTATCGACAGATATCTTTGTTGATTTGTTTAGAGATAGATAACACATTTTTTGAGTTGACCCCACAAATGCAGTTATCAAACACTTGTAGAAAAGATTAATAATTAAGACAAGATGGTCACTAAACTGGAAAGTATCTGTTCATGTACGTGCATCACCGCTCAAGAGTGATGATGCTTTTTGTAATCCATATAGCGCCCTCTGCTGGTGACAGAGAACTGTTAGTGTAACACAAAGATACTCAAATGAAATGCTTTTTGACTCTTGAAGATATCTGGAATATCGGCGCATGTCTGAGATAGAATTAGCCGATGCCCATTGTAGCGTAACTGAAATCGAGCAGGGGTCCAATTGGGCGCCAGACAGACCCTTAAGTTTGTCAAAAAAGTCTCAGGGTGATTCCCACCTAAATTCAACACAAAACGTATCTGCGAAATACAATTAAATCATAAAGTTCATTTATACATTCAACATAAATTCAGGACAACAGAAATATTTCATATTTAAACAAAACATCTCATATAACTAAAGGTCAAAGTCCATGCCCACTCTAGGTTTTTATGAACGCTCCTCTCCTTTAATTGTTTGGCATCCAAGAACATTGCAAGCAGCCTGAACCCCCCTTCTCCAGTTGTCCAACACTCCACTGTGCAGCAATCCTCTGTCTCCTCTCACACACACTCTCCCTCTCAGGTGCAAACAATCATCAATTTGCCTCTCCTAGGCCACACCCCTTCCTCACAGCCCTCTGCTGTGCAGCTGGATGCAGACTGCACCCTGTCTGCTACACCATAGTCAAGCAATATGCTAATATCGGCCGATATATAAAGACACACATTATTTTCTGTTTAACACTGAAGGGAACGAGGCTGAACCCACACAACCACCTACAAGACAAACAGTAGCAATGACAACTGTTCCATTAACAACACGGGAAAACAGTAACATGGCAACGACAAAGAAAGAAAAGTCCAACAACGAATCCACAGAAGACGAGGATAATAGTAAGTTGCCCCTGATTTTAATACTGTCATTAAAGAGATGTTTACACAAAAACAATCCACTGAAAACTGATTCGTTATAAGTTGGTGTTTTCCAAAAAAGTTCTGCGTTCAGACGACATTTTGATAACCGCTGCGCACACGCATCCTCAAAACAACTAAAAACGCTGCAGTGTTCATGCCAGGCCAGTAGTTGGTGTAGTAGTTGTAACTGTGTAATGAAACAACAGAGCATGTGCACATACTCTTCCGTCTACAGAGCAATTGACTTAAAACTATTGTACATATTTTAAAAAACTGAGACGGGTCCTAGTAACCACACTGCTGACAAAACGATGCCCATCACAAGACCTTAATGTAAACAAACAAAGAAACAAAAGAGCAAACTATTAAAGTGTAGATTGTTAGAAAACTCCAGCCGATGTGTAGCTGAGCTCTTGGCATCAAGTTGATTTGATGTGCATTTTTCTGTAGTATTATTATTATTACACTAGCCTCTTCATTCAACTGGTCCAAGTCACGAGAAAACTTTATATTTGACACATTTAAAAAAAAAAAAAAAAACGCAGCTTTTTTAAATTTCTCACATTCAGCCTGTGATCCTCTGAGCGAGAGTTCTTTTCTGTTTCTTGTATTATAACTGTTTTCTGTTTAACACTGAAGGTCACAAGGCTAAAACCACTGAACCATCTACAAGACAAACAGCAGCAGCAACAACTGTTTCATTAACAACACGGGCAAACAGTAACATGGCAACGACAAAGAAAGGAAAGTCCAACAACGAATCCACAGAAGACGAGGATAATAGTAAGTTGCTCCTGATTTTAATAATGTCATTAAAGAGATGTTTACGCAAAAACAATCCACTGAAAACTGAATCGTTATAAGTTGGTGTTTTCCAAAAAAGTTCTGCGTTCAGACGACATTTTGATAACCGCTGCGCACACGCATCCTCAAAACAACTAAAAACGCTGCAGTGTTCATGCCAGGCCAGTAGTTGGTGTAGTAGTTGTAACTGTGTAATGAAACAACAGAGCATGTGCACATACTCTTCCGTCTACAGAGCAATTGACTTAAAACTATCGTACATATTTAAAAAAAACTGAGACGGGTCCTAGTAACCACACTGCTGACAAAACGATGACCATCACAAGACCTTAATGTAAACTGTTGCATGTCCTGGACATGCAAAAAGGGGTGAATAACTTTACTATAGCTAACGGAAGCCCACCACCCATTAGTTAACTAGACTACTCTTTCCTAGAACTAAATGAGAGCTCGCTCCCTACCAACCTGCTAGTCTTCTCTTTCCTAGTGGAAGGAGCTATGTAAAATTACTCCTCTAACACCCTTTGGAGGACAGATGAACAAGTTATAATCACAGCCCCAGGATTATCTGCCTAACATTCATTTCTAGAATAATTAGATTCAAGGATAACCCCTGGTATAGGACTCTAGATTACCCCCCAGAGAGGGAATAACTGTGAACTCCCCCCGCTAGGATGTTAGGTGTGTATGAAGTGTGTCATATAAGTCAGTAAGACAAGTGTGCCGTGGTGTGACTGCTCAAAACTTAACTTCTGAGGTACACGGGGTCCTTAAGGGGAACTTCCAGTCTTTGTGGTGTAAATGATTTCAGTCAGAAAATGATTTCAAAAAGTTCCGAAAATTTATAACAATTTTCAAAAGATATTCCAAATGCAAATACAAAAGAGTAAAAGTAAAAGGTATAAAAAATGGAAAAGGAAAACAAAACTCAAAGACCAAAGTCTAAACCTGTGAGTGTAGACACTTGAGGTTTTAAAAGATCTTGGCTCAGAGACTAAGTCCCAAAATGGGATTTCAAAACTCAGAGTGACGTGGATTCATTTTGCAAAGCAAAAAGGAACCCAGATCAGATTTCCTACAGGGTTTTTATAGCCAAAATCTCTCTCTTTTTTCAAGATCCTGTAACACTTCAACAATGCACGTTCGCAGAAACGTGATGCATCCACAGGTCATGCCAAGTTCATATGTGGTTTCAGCTCGAAGACCGTGAACCGAGCAGATACACAGAAGAGCTGATACTCAGAAACGCTATACGCCTATGAGCTCCTATGTGGTCTTGCTTCAATGTATGGCACACCTATCTTGACCTAACAGGAGTTTAGGCACTACGAGTGTGTGTAAGTTTAACAGGAAATGTTGAAAGCAGAAAAAGGTTATGACTTTATGACCTATGTATTAAATGATGAAAGAATTAAATGATAATAAAACAAACAAAAAAAAAACAAATTCAACAATTGCATAACTCTTTCTGATCTCTCAACAAAACAAACAAACAAACAAAAGAGCAAACTATTAAAGTGTAGATTGTTAGAAAACTCCAGCCGATGTGTAGCTGAGCTCTTGGCATCAAGTTGATTTGATGTGCATTTTTCTGTAGTATTATTATTATTACACTAGCCTCTTCATTCAACTGGTCCAAGTCGTGAGAAAACTTTATATTTGACACATCTAAAAAAAAAAAAAGACCGCAGCTTTTTTAAATTTCTCACGTTCAGCCTGTGATCCTCTGAGCGAGAGTTCCTTTCTGTTTCTTGTATTATAACTGTTTTCTGTTTAACACTGAAGGTCACAAGGCTAAAACCACTAAACCACCTACAAGACAGACAGCAGCAGCAACAACTGTTCCATTAACAACGGCAAACAGTAACATGGCAACAACAAAGCAACAAAAGTCCAAGAACAAATCCACAGATGAGGACAATAAGAGTAAGTTGACCCTGATTGTAATATTGTCATTAAAAAAGTTTTATTTAAGAATTCTTTCATAACCTTCTTGAGTCAAGATTACATTTTAGAAATCAGAAAATGAAGACTTATCAAAGCTACTTTAGTTGATGTAGTACTCGTCCTTAAAGGAGCAGTATGTAACTCTGGCACCTTGTTTAAAATGAGTACTGCAGTCCAAACTAAAACCATTGTAGAGAGCTGTCTCCCCCCGCCCCCTCCTGGCAGGTTGCCATGTGGTGGACACTGAAGCTTCAGTGTTTAGCCAGCTCTGCATCGGTCTGTAAACCTTTCTGCGTTCTAACCTCTCTCCATTTTTCAAAAGAATCAGCATAAAAAAAATATCAAATTACATCCACACAGGTTTAGTCACACTGTTGTTGAATTAAAACAGTAAAGCCTGATTAGATTCTTAAATACGTTTTTCAAAGTGGTCAAACTGTTCTGTGATATATTTTGATTGAAGTGTTTGATGTGAATCGAGTCTTTGATTAAAATATTACAAAATCTATGTTTTCTTTTTCCCCACAAACTAAACTCTCATGGCTCAGAAAACATAGAACCAACAAGTCTGACTTGTAAAGTTTTTAGTGTTTTGTTATTTTATGTTTTACTTTAATAATTATTCAAATACTGAATGAAAAGAGCCTGCTCTGTGTACCATCGATTGAATTTGAGTTATTCATTCTGATTTGATTTTTCAGACTCCAAAGACACTCCAGGTTTGGTGTCAAGGATGTATATCTTCATCACCGTCCTCATCATCATCCTCATCATTATCCTCATCATTATAGTCACTGTCTATTGTAAAAAAAGAAGATTTAAAAAAGGAGGTAAATGAATGCTTCTTGTTAACAATATTGTCTATAAATCAAGCAGAATATGAGATATTTAAATATAATTACACAATACAGAAGAAGAACAAAAATGGGGGACGATCCAAATAAAAAAACGAGAAAAAGAATCTGGATGAAATTCTGGCCGAGAAGACGGTAAAGGTGCTTAATGCCATGCACACACTTGGACATATTATTATTTGGACATATCCGCGACAAGCCCCAAATTGGGCCATGCCTGTCTCTTTGTATTTTTCCTTGCAGAGCAGCAAACAAAACTCACTTTTCACTTTCTCAGTTGTTGGATGTTTGGAGATCCAAATGAATCCCGACCGTCTGGGAGCTCGGCTCAGATTTAAGCTTTACTACGCCTTCACGTTAAAATACACAAAAAGACATGAATTCAAATAAAATGAAATAAAAACTCACTTCAAATTGAGCTTCTCGGCCGTCAGACAAAAGAGGCCATGTGGCACCCACAAAAGCTTTAAAAACTTCCTACCACTTTGCAACAAGGAGACTGCTTAAATGAATCCCTTAATTATGAGCGACATCAATCCTTTCATTAAAGCAGTAAGTTTACAGTAAGTCTACAACATGCTCATAAAGCAAGAGTTCATCTTACTTCAGCTGGTTTTGAACTCAATAGAAAAAGAAAAACCGTTGCATTTTTTTTCATCTTAAAGTCCGATTTAGTCCAGATGACCTGTTGTGCCCGCCTTTTTCTTTGCAGGTAAAAAAGAAGAAGCTATTTATGAAGAAATACCGGATGCATTGTTTCAGCCACAAAATGGTGAGAAAAGTTATTTTTATTTTATAGAGAAAGACAAACTTGCTGTTTCTGGGATGACCAAGAATGTTGCAGCAGTGATGGAAAAAACAAAACAAAGCTCAGTCAGCTGTCTAAAGCAAGCTTTGGTTTTAAAAAACCTTGGTGTAAAAAGAAGCCGTATAAGTTAATGTTAGCTGGTTCTGTATAATAATGCTTGTTGGTTAAATTTTTTAGACAGATTAAACCAAAATGATCCCACGTATTCCACCATCTCTGAGCTTCCTCTGATGGAGAAGCCAACTGGTAATACTTTTAAGTTTACACTGAAAATGTTTGTTAAACCAAATATTCCTGGTAAAATATAGAATATTTTGTCATGTTTTCTTGCAGACACAATTCTACCTAATGAGTCCCCTTACTCCTGCATCGGAGACACAGTAGGTAGAGATTACACAGGTAACAGTTAGCTCCTTAAATGTGGGAAACATATTTAGGTTTCAAGATTCTAAATCTAAATCCCACCAAATGAACCTGCCAAACAGACAAGACTTATTCTTTTCCATTTGCAGATTTGACGCAGTCGAATGAAAGCCCATATTTTTTACTGAAGAAACCTGAAACACCCGAGAACAACAACGACGTGACGTCTGCAGTTTGAGCGGAAAATTCTTCAGTTGTCGATAAAACCTGCTTCTTCAAGAAGAAGCCTTGTTTCCACTAGAGACTGTAAATAATAAAGTTTGAAGCCTGAGTGACCCGTCTGTTCCTGCAGGGGACACTGAAGTCCCATCGATGGCGGTCTCCATGCTGGAAATGCTGTCTCAGTCTAACTTTCAGTCAACCTAAAGACAGGCTGAGAGCTGGAGCTGGAGCTGAGGCGGGTTTTAAGCCTCCTGACAAACCGTTACACCGCGCCCGCCTGTCAATCAGGTCAGCTACACGACTTAATGTGAATAACTCTTATCCTTCATCAAATCAAAACCTATAGGTCATCAAAACATTCACCCCCCCGTACAGTGTGTGTCGATCGAGACATGAGCTAATCAGACCTATTTGTTTTTTTGTACCAAGCTGTAAACATGTTCATCTCTGCTGTAAAAACAGACTTTTTGAATGTGGTTTTTCAGATTAAATAAATATTTCTATATAAATGCACTCCTTTATGTCTACTTATGAGTATACATTTCAGATTTGAAATGACAAGACTAAAATGTGCATTAATGCTCAACTCAATAGCTAAGGGAAGGAAGTCTACTTTTACACAACTTTTTATTCTTTTGACATTTTTTTTTTTCCCAAATACTAATGTAGTTCATTTCTTAAAATGGGATGGAACAGAGTCATTGCTAAATTTGCCCTTAAACACAGCCCCATTCTTAAATCAAGATACATAAAGAGTAAATAAGATCAATAACAGATAATATCACATAATATCAACTTCTCCCATCTAAACTGGACAAAGGGTTTCAAAATGGGAAGAAAAGGGTTTGATTGCAAGTTGTTTGGAGGAGATCTATTTTTATTTGAACAGCATGAATACAGTCTTCCAAGGTGCAAACCCTCCTTCTTCTGAAGCTTGTGGAGCTCCTTGATGTACTGCTGTCTTATCTGCTGGCCATCTTCTCTCACCAGAACTTCGACTGTTGAAATGTCATTCTGAAGAAGCTCGAGCATGTGACATGGATCCTGGAGAACATGGACTTTTAGTGAGGGGTCTTCAGGATGGCAAAGAAAGAGAGAAAATATCAGTTATTCATTAAATCATTTGTTTGTTCTCATCTATTTTTCTGTATTCATCTGTGTGTAAGAGCACATTTATAAATTCAACAGTGTACTACCCAGACAACAAAGGTACAGTATTCAGGTAATCAACATCTATTCAAAGTTAAGAAGATAAACATTATTGTAATCATGCTGTTTTCAGCTCTCTCACTCACACAATGATATTCCACATCAAATTGCCTCAGATTTTGTGTGAGGAAAAATTAAGCAGTTTATTGTGGATAGTACTTCATCTTTACATGAAACAAATATTACCTGAATTATTTAAATCATTAACAGGTCCCAACTCTCTGTGCTTCAGTACAGAACATACAGTAACTTAAATACATAAATTTATTATTAACATGAGCTCGATACATGACTGTATCCTTAAATTATTTCTTGTACTTTATATATATATATATATATATTAAGGCTGGGAACGTTAACGCGTTATTTTCGCGTTAACTAATTAATCAATTATCGCCGACAATTATTTTATCTCGCATTAACACAGTTTTTATTAGTTATTTTCTTATTGTAAAAGTATTTTGCTCACTGGTTTTTATTTTGTAAAATTCCATCGTGAGCCTAGTATGTTGCTTTTGGCGGATAATCAAGCATGGAGAAGGGTACGGAACTTTTACATGGCCATTTTCATTTTAAAGTTCTTCCAGACGGCGCAGTCCACAGAGCCGAAGTTATTTGTAACCACTGCGAAGTTGAATTTTCTTATCACCGGAGTACTTGATAAGTACTCCAAAATATGTTGCAGCCAGAAACTCAGGCGGACGCTGAAAGGTCGTTTCACTTGTCTTCACTTTATTTAAGCGTTTAACAAAGACCCAGTACCTTCATTCACTCTGCCTAAGAGTCTCTTCAGCTGCTGAATAATAACGACAGCTTTCTTGCTAACTCCGGAGCATCACAACAACAACACTCTTCTTCTCTGAACTCCTGCATGTCACTGTTTCTCACTCACAGACTCCACCTAGTGGTGTAGATTATGCAGCGCATTTAATTAATAACATGTCAACATGGACTGCTTGAATAATGTTGCAGTTCAGAAAAATACATTAACATTAGCAACTTTGAAGATGAATTCAAAAAAGATTTTAAACTAAAGAATTTCAAAATGACAAGTACAACAAAAATGTGTTTGTGGGGTCCCCGATAACCAAACAATAAACATCAATGTTCTCAATTGACCTGTCACACTCTCCCCCACTTTAAAAATGGCGTCCCGACATTTTCATTATACTGCTTAGCCTAAAACCTTTCTGGGCAGTTTTTTTTTTTAATATAACAAAGAGAATGACATTATGCCCTTGCAGTGGCAATAAGCTTTAGTTTTGTATTTATTTGCTTTGATTACATTGTTTAAGTTGAGAAGTACATTTACAATAAAAGTGCACAAGACCACTTTTGAATTCATTATTGGATTTTGCGTATAACAATGCGATTAATCGTGATTAATCACAGGAACTCATGCGATTAAAACTTTTAATCGTTGCCCAGCCCAAATATATATACTTTATATCTTATTTTCATTCCAGATGTTATTTATATCTTTTATATTTCTACTGCTATATTCTTTGGAAGAGCATCTGTAACGATTAAGAACTATATTAATAACCATATTAAATTTCACTGAACTCAACAAATTTGGTAACAGTTTGCACAAATCTTAAGACACTACATCAACCATGTAACGTTGATGTCATCCTCTATAACCTACACAGCAGATTAGATTCAGTTGAGTTCAGTTTATGTTACTGACGGATAATTACTACACAAAGTTTGTTTTTTAATGTCGACATTTACGTGGAGTATTACATTCATCATAACATCAGATAACCATATTTACAGCCTCAAGCGGAATCTCGAGGAACTGCAGTTTTTTGTACTTCCGCATTGGCTTCATTTTTCGAGACCTTTGTTTACTGTCTAATGTAATTAACAGTGAAAACACATTGGCTGTTTGTGAAACATTATTTTAAGGGATATTTCACGTTGACCAAATTCAGTCAAGTTTTACCATAGACTGTACAAAACATGAACGTAGTCTCAGTGATGTCACCCACCCCCACTGAAACCAGAGAATGTTGGTCGCCATATTGGAAAAGTTGACTCTACTTATCTTTAGATGAATTTGGAAAACGGGCAAAAAGGCGGAGCAGAGGTGGGGCTTAAACCTCCTGGGAAACAACAACGTGTTCTCCTGTCGGTCAACACAGCCACACCCCTAATTAAGAGACGAGCTCTAGAGATCAAACCTGTTTCTGTATCAGGCTGTGGACATGTTTATTTCTGCTGTAAACATTTTAACATAGGACCTAATGGGGAATCCGCCGTTTTTGGAGCCAGTCTAAAGTGGACACTGGAGGAACTGCAGTGTTTTTGCACTTCTGCGTTGACTTTTGGAGGTTTCAGCACAAGTTCTCCAGACAGGGTCACTGAAAAAGTCTGAGTGAATTGACACATTTTAACCAGTAGGTGGTGCTCAAGGGTCTCAGATGCAGCTTGCAGTTGGAAGAGGCCATAAGAAGCAGAGGAAGCTGCAGCAGCTTCAGGTCACAGCTGCCAGGTTTCACACGCTCTAGTTTGTTTATTGTTCTTTTTATCAGGTATACAAATATCAATGCAGTTATAAATAAAGCCACTTCAGTGGAAGTGTAATAGTGATGATGGTGTTAATGTGTCTGACAATGACTGAGTTGATTGTTTTCACGTCTGTTGTCATTTTCCCTGACCTGTCAGTATCCAACAGATTTAATGCAGCTTTGGTCACATAATGATTTTACTTTCAAGACATGACTTCACATCTTTCAGAAAGGTAAACACTCATTATGAGTCCATACCTGAGGCGCTGACTGTGTGGTGGGTGAAACATTCAGAGAAGAGGAAACTTCAGCGCTCATTAACCACAGATTGAAACAGTCACAGACTCACTCTTATAACTTACCAATGTGGGTGTTTAGGGTAGAGGAACACACACCCGCTGGCACGTAGACGGTCGAGTTCCTGTTCTCTTCTAAGAGAAACTGTGCTCACTTTGTGACAGAAGTCAGTGCGAAGATGAAGGTGATCATCAGCTGCTGCCTGTTTGCCTTCCTCCTGAGCTGTAACCTCACTGCAGGTAAGACTGCCCTGTTTCTCACCATTACTTTGAAGCGTGTTGTGAAGACTTTTGTGTAGAATTTTCTGAGTTGAAATGAATCTGAAATGTGAATCAAACTTTCATGAGGAATTGAGCCGCTGATGTAAGCGTGAGAAAGGTTACTTCAGGAAGTAAAAAAACAGCCCGGATAGATTCAGTGGTAACGTACCTACACCGCAATATTTACATAAATGTGGAATATTTTTTAATGTGTTATTCTCATCAGTTTGGGTTGTTGGTTGTTGATTTTATACATGATTAGTGCATTGATTTCTTTAGTATGAAGATGAAGAAGATATCCTCCATTAATTATTAGAGGGAGATTACATTTGACGCTGTGTTGTTGAACATGCTCCACACACACACACACACGATCCTGTGGATGCACTGATGGCAAGCGCTCCTGAGCTGGTGGGGCGGGGGTTTGGTGCCTTGCTCAAGGTCACATCGGCAGTACTCAGGAAGTGATCTGACACCTCTCCAGCTACCAGACCAACTTCCAGACTAGGGCCCTTTCCGAATTGTCACAGTTCAGTCGGCAGTACGTACTTTTCAGTAGGGAGTTTCAGTATACTGAACTTTCGTGGTCATTCACTATGCATTTTTTGGGTCCACCTCAGTATACTGAACATTTCAGTATGGATACTAACTTCCGGATTTCATGCAGTATGGATCGGATGCGTGCTTTCAGGAAATGAATTGTATTTTACCACCCACAATGCTGTGTGAAATTAAACGTAAATCGTCACGTCCGCCTCCAAATCAAAACAAACGAGCGTGGATTACTTGAATAAATTTTTAATCTAGAGTTAAAGTCCTGACTGAAATCGCTACTTTTAATTAACAACAGAAAATATAACAAATATCTGCAT